TGACTTCCTTTCAAATTCCTTCCCTAAGTGGGTAGAAAGATGGGAAATGGATCAATGGATTTGGCTCTTTATGCATGGGCCTATAAAAAGCCAGCTACTCACCATTCTCACCTTATGAATTTATGGATCAGAGATTACATTTGTAAATAAAAGAGAAAGGAGAGAGGGAAATGGTATTTTTCTATAGAGGCATTGGAAAGCAGCCAACTTATTAACACCAAGGCCCTCAGTCTGGCAGAGAACATTAACAACACAAAAGCTACGCTTAACTCTCAGATGTCTGTTCCAGTTGCCAAAATAATTTCCATTAAATTATGAATTAGGGAGACATGACTGTGTGAGAGACCAAGTGACTAGTACTTGGGTTGAAGAAAACAACATGAATTGGATCAGTTTGGGAAAGAAATCTGTATTCTTCCTTTTGGCAATTTTGTTACCTGTATGGACCACCTGGGGCACCAAACATAAGCTCAAGAGTGGAGGATAATTAAGGAGAAAGATGGTGGAAAAACCCGACAAAAAAGGACATTACTGAGGGTCTTAGGGCCAATGGATCAGTGAATTGTGAATCTTGGATAAGTCACTTACCTAGACAGTCCTATTTTCTTCATTTATGAAAGTCGGGCTACAGACTTTGAAGTCCCTGCTTGTCTTAGTTTTGAAGACACTGCTCACTTTGGGTTAGTTTTGAAGTCACTGCTCACTTTGGGTTTTCTATCCTATTCTTTTACCAAGCCTGATGTTTGTTTCTTTCATTGAAACGCCTAGCAACTAGATATTGAAATATCTCAAGAATTTCTTGCTCAGGAGATTTTTTTGAAAAAAAATTTTACTTTCTTTAGGAGGCAGTCTTACTGGAACTAAAACTGCAATTGCTCCATTCTACTTCTTGTTTGTGAACATTGCTATTCCATCAATTATACAATCAGATACCTGGGACTCTTCCTCTTTGACTTCTCATATGTTCAGTGAGTCACTGAGTCCTGTGCATTTAGCTCTTACTCTGTCAAAGGCTTCTTCTTTACCTTTAGAATAATGTCTAAACTGATAATAGAGGCATAACAGGCCTTTCCTCCTATTCTAGCATTTAGCAACAACAAGTAATAACAGTAATGGATTAACAACTGATATTTGGCAAACATTACTATGTGCCTGGAGCATTGTTAAGTACCTGGTATGAATTATATTATCCATTCCTCTTGAGAACATGAAAACAGTTGGTTGTTCAAAATGACTTCCCTCAACAGGGATTTCTGAGACAAGGACTTGTTTATTTGGGAAGTGGTCACAGGAACCACAAGTGAGTATGTGGGGAAAGTGAGGCAGGGAAGGGAGAAAATTCAGTAAGATATGAACACGGAGAGGGTCATGCTGTAAGGAACAGGGGCTCAGTTTCTTTGCAGACACTCTGAGGAACCATATAGCATGCACTTTAGAATTATTAGAATTATTTAGAATTATTAGAATCATTTAGTATGCACTTTAGAATTAAAGGGATGGAGAGGCTGGCTATGCGTCAACCCACGCTTCTACTTCATCAGGTGAGGGACAACACTGAGGACAGTAAGTCCCCTGGCACTTCTGGTCAGCATTTCTGGTTTAGCCCGTGCATTGGTTAGCAAGTTCCTGGGGTCCCTCAGACCAAGAAGCAGAGAACAATACCGGAGCTTGAAAGAGAGAAGCTTGAACTTCTCTAACACTATCTGTGGGTGGGTGAACTGGTTGTTGGTTAGTCTAGTACTAATTAAAATTCCCAATTTTCTATTTTTTCTTTATTTCTTCATTTTTTTAAATTTTAAAATATTAAGGGGGTACAAATATTTTAGGTTATATGGGTTGCTTTTGTAATGCTTGAGTCCTGGCTTTAGGTGTACCCACCACCCAAACAGTGTTCATTGTATCCATTAGGCAGGTTTTCATCCCTCCCATCTACTTCTTTTTTTTCATTTTTCTCTTCAATGTTTTAGAAATGCCCTAAGATATTGTACTTCATAGATTAATTCTTTAACATTCTTATGTTATTGCTATCGTCAATTTATTATTACTATTATTTCCAGTCTCCTTTCTGGATAATGCCTCTAACTTTATCTTACAGTTCTTCTGAATGTTGTTTTGTTTTGTGGTCTTTTTTGGTGTTGTATTGTGTTTAGCTATCTCAATTTAAACATCTGAAAATTCTTTCTTATTCTCAGCTTGTTTGTGTGCTTTTATTTATTTTTTAGCTTTCTTTTTATAGATTAGGAAAAAAAAAAACTTTTGTAATCTCTATGAAAACATTGGTGATGCTTTTTGAAATTTTATTACTTTTTCTTCATGATGCCATTTTTAACGGCTTCTATTTAATTGAGGGCCTTACCCTCTTACACTCAGGACTTCTTCAAATGTGACAACCCTAGTTATACATTCATAGATCTGTGGTAATGGTTGTGGCTTGTTCACTCGTGGATGTTATTTTTAGGTTGTCAAGACTAACTCTGTTTTTTATTGGGAAATTTTGAAACATGGATATTTGAAAGTCTATATTTACATTAAATTTATTTATATTTATGCATCTTCCAATTTTTTTGACAGAAGGAACATATGAAGTATAAATTTCCTGTTTCAATACTCATGCTATTTTCTTTTGAGTCTTAAAACTGAACAGGTGGAGCCCCTGGAGCTCAATTTCTCTGCAAATATTCCCCAACCTCCCATTGGTTGTGAGAAAGAGGGGTGCCTAAGTGACAGACCTTCAAATAAGCCGTCTATTTTCAGTTCCAGCATTCCCACTGCTTCTTCTCAGATTCAGAGTGCCTCCAGCTCCTGATCCTTCTAGGAGAGTCTGCAAAGAAATCCACTTGCTTCTCACAGTTACCTTCCTTTGAGAGCACTTGGTGTGATTTTTTTTTCTTTCTTCTATGTCTCATCGATGATGGAATTTTGGTTCCTGTTTCTTCTTCTCTTAGTTATTAGGAGTCATTTTATGGGAAATCACCGAGCAAGAAATGTCTTGGTTCAACAACCTGAGACGAAAACACTACTTTTGTGAAGTCTTCTTTCCTGACCATCCTCAACAATTAATTATCTTTCACCTGTTTAATCTCCCATCACCTGTAAATCTCCCATGTAACTATGTCCATATTTATGTTTTTTTCATTATATTTATCAAGATTCTTTACAGTTCCTTGTGTTCCTTTTGACCTGTGATCCTCTTGAGACAGAAAACTTGTCTTCTCTTGAATCTACATCCATAAGAGGACCTAACATATAAAAGGTGCTTAATAACCATTGGCCGAATTGAATTAATAATGGAAGAAGCAAGAAGATGCTATTCTAGGTTATTACTTCTATTCATCAATCTCTGCTTTTCTGCCACAGAGAAACTCAGCTCTCAACGTCTCCAAGGCTTGATTCATACGATGAATAAAGAAAGCTAATGACATTCTGCATTCAAGTTGTACGACGGCTAAATAGGAAAGAGGTTCACACTGGTGAATACAAATAAAGAATTCTTCAATTGATGTTACCAGTCTTTCTGCTTTGGCAACCACTCCTCTCCTCTCTTTTTTTCTTACTTCCACCCTCCTGATCTGCCAACATCTGTGATTGTAATGATAGATACCCATCAAGCCACAGGTAACTGAAGACTCCATACTTCAGTACATAGATTGTATGCCACTTGCTTCTTAAAGACAACTCTGCTTTTTCAGTTGGAATTCATCTCTTTCTCTTTTGAATTCTGTAATACTTTTGCTATCACAGCAGCTGACTATGTGCACACAAATCTGTATTGAATGAACAAATAAATGAATGATGACCATCAGGAGCACAGGATTGTTTTAGCTGTGTGCCCATGCCACAGTTGTGGAATAGTATCTTGGAAAGATGATTCTCCTAACCTATTGAGGAGGTGAGAGCATTTGGCTAATGTGCTTTTAACGGCATGATACCATTCTATATTATTATTTATGCTGTTTGCAACCTGATGCTTTCTATGACTAAATAGAGTTCTCCAGTGAACTCTAGAGTACTATCTAGGATTAACTTGATGACACAGGACAGTTACCACTGCATCCCAACTACCTGAGTCAATACCCTTGAACAGATAGTCCAATATAAATTCAATAGTTTCATTGTGCCAGAACCACTAAATTTGAATACTACTTCAATAAATATTTAAAATTATCTCTTAATTTAATCCTCAAGACTTTTGGATGACTTTATCTTTCTTCAGAAATCAAGCCCTTTTCCTAGAATTTACGATGAAATTGTTCACATATTGAGCAATCTATTTTATTGCATTAATTACTCTCAGGCTCACATTTTTTCATATGATAATTTGTTATTTACTTATCTTCTCAACCAATAATTAGACCGTAAACTGAATAAGTCATGATTCTGAAAAAAGAAAATACATATGCCTCTCATGTATTCAGCAGAAGGATGAACAAATTCAGACTCTTTTTCAGTAAGATGAAGCTAATTTGAATAATATCAATATTTGTGAATGCATTTGGCTAATAGTTAACCCAAAGTAATTAGACCCTGTGTTAATTAGTCTAAAAGTCCCTGGCTTCTTTAGAAATTAAAGGCAATATATTACTTCTACCCCTAACCTCTGTCTCCAATCTCATCTCTTACCATTAGCCTGAATATACTATTTTCTTGTCAGGATCCTCTAGAGATGTCAGAGCCCGGAGGAAAGTCACTCTGACTTTCATCTTCACAACCCAGTCAGTGCCTAATGTATTGCCTGAGACCTAACAAGTTATTTAATAAGTGATAGTGTAATTAGTGGATGCTCCATGATTATCATACTCATTATTCTATAAATATCATGCATTTTGACCTGTCTCATTCATCTCTTCTTGAAAATGTCTTATGTTTGCTTTTCCACCCAGTATAGTTTGCTCCCACTGTTCAATGCCATGACCTTCTGAATATTTATGTGACCTGCCCAAGAGGACCTGGTCCCTCCAACCCTCCAAAGCTTGTTTCACACCCTGTATCCTGGTACAGACCTTTGTGCCTGTAATGGTTCATTTTAGCTGTCGACCTGACTGGATTAAACGTTACTTGGCGAACTGGTGAAGCATTACTTTTGGATATGTCCGCGAAGGTGTTTCCAGAAGAGGTTAGCATGTGAGTCTGAGCAGCCTATGTGGGGAAGGGCTGCCCTCAATGTGGGCAGGCAGCATCTACTCAGCTGGGGGCCTGGAAAGAACACAGACAGAAACAGCAAATTGGTATCTGATTCCGGGCACTGGGATATACTAATATCCTGCCTTGGACATCAAAATTCCAGCCTTTGAACTTAGATCAGGGTCATTCATGGGTTCTCAGGCTTTGGGTCTTGTACCGAAAGATATGCCATTGCCTTCCCTTGGTTGTGAGGCCCCCAAACTTGGACTGAGTGATGCTACCAGTTTCTCGAGGTATCTAGCTTGCAGACTGCCTATTGTGGGAACTCTCAACCACTATAATCATGGGAGCCAATTCCCCTAATAAATTCCCTCTCATCTATTTATATACCTACCCTATTGGTTCTGTCCTTCACGAGAACCTTGATTAATACGGTGTCCATCTCTTCTATTATGTTGTGAGTTCTTTGAGAAAGGAATTGCTAAGTACCCAAGAAATTTCAAGTGTTCATCTAACGGGGTTTGATGAACTAATCTTTAAATTTCAAATAGAGCTTTCCCTGAGGGGGCTGAACAATGTAGCTCAGCGGTTCTGCAACTCTTCCTGATCATGGTGCACCCCATAAGCCAAAACAGATATAGCTTAACAATTCCATTTACGAAGCAGTTTGGTGCAAACACATTACTTTTTAACAACTTAAAGGATGTTTTAAAAATATAATATGTATACATTGGAAGGAAAATAATATATTTATTTCATTCTTAAATACCCACTTCTACTTATGGCAAGCATGCTTCTGTTGGGCACTGCACAACTTCTCAAATCTGAGAATAAGATCGTCCAGCCTCGTTTCCTGCTCTGCATTGATTTCACACGGTATTTGCTTTTTTATCACAGCATCCACTGGAAGCCTGGTTTTAACAAAGCTGTGGTAGTGGAAGGGATGCAATGAGATATAATGTTGAAATGAAACTACCTTACACTACGTAGTGCATGCAGTGGCTAACAGATGTTGAGGATCGCTGTGCTTCTCTGGAACATTTAATATATTCTATGATGCCTTCCTGAGTTCACTTGGGCATCCTAGGATGCCTTGGTGCTCAGTTTGGGAATGGAGAGTGTGGTGGTAAAACACATTGATTCTGGCAAAAGACTGCTGGTTTTGAATTCTGGATCTACTATCTAGTGGCTGTTTTCCACTGAGCGATTATGTCTCTTGATCTCATTTTACTTATCTGTAAACCAGGGAATGGTACCACATATCTCTTAAAGTTTTTTATAAGAATTAAATGTGTTAGGCTATTTAAAATACTTAGGAAAGTGTCTGAAACTATATAAAGTGGTAGCTGTTCTTGTTGTTATTGTTAGTAATTTTAATTGCATATCATGCATTTATAACAGAGACTAGCCAAATACTATAGGGGGTCAATGTATGTCCTCAGGAGATGACTACTTTCCATATACCACCTACAAAATTTCTTTATTCATAATCATTTTAATGATACCATATTAGGAGAAACTCACTGAATAGTTTTACTGAATGTCAGGCACTGTGCTAAGATTTTTAGATACATTAATTTCAATTAATCCTCCAAACAACCATACTCTGTATGACTAGTATTATTTCCCAACTTTACACATGGGAAAAATGAAGCTAGTCCCAGATCAACCAGCTAGTAAGTGGCTTGGATGGCCAGCATGCAAATCCAGATGTATGTATCTGGCTCCAGAACTTGAGTTCTTCACTGCTGCTCCTTCTGATGAACCAAACGGTCAGGCTGATTCCTTCAACAGACTAAGATTCCCAAGTCATCTCATGATAGAAGGATGTAGCAGAGGTCATGAAATCAGACATAGGTTTTGAGTCAGGACCTGGGAGGAATTAAATTGCACATGATTCTAGCTTCATCTCAATCACAATCATGACAACGTTGTCAAACCTGCTCTTCATTTTTCTCCAAGTTACTAACTTAGAGCAGAAGATATAGAAAACTTCTCAGGGCTGCTGAATATTAAACAAACCTTAGCAGACCCATTATAAGATACATCACCTTCTTCCAAGATTCATCTATAAAAGGAATTTAATTTTTTCCCAAATTTGCCGGCGTTGAGAGAAATGTTTTTATTTTAGAAATGTTCAGAGGTTAAAATATGCGTAGCCCACCATCCAAGGAACAATGGATGTTATTGATTTCTTCCGGCCTCTCACACCTTCATATGAGTTTATGGGATCCTAAATCAAGAAGCAATTTTTGCTTTTTGACAATGATATGGAAAGTACCTACTTTTCCAATGATGATATACCTGCTCTATGTGGTTTCTTCAATCAAAAAAAAAAAAAAAAAAGGAAAGAAAGAAGAAAAAAGTGGATTCTTCTATTGTTTGGCAGAGTTGGATATGTTTTAAAGTCAATCTTTTAATAAGAGTGAATATTTACATATCCTAAATCAAAAAGCAATTCTGTTTCCCTGACATTATTACTTTAAAAAATGATTCTTCTATCTCTTTTCAAAAGACTTGGTTCATTGCTTTTGGAATGCACCTGAGATAAATATCAGATGTGAAGAAGAACATAAAACACTTTTCCTGAAGAAGGACATGGGTCTGATACTTATTTGGTCATGTAGAATATTCAAGTGTAGCCCCCCAAAACTGATAGAGGAATGCTCCGATACGAGGCAACAATTTTAAAATACCACCTATAGGTAGTTTAAAATAGACTCGCAGTGGAGACCCAGCTATAAAGACCTGTATGTGGAAGAAATATATAAAAATAATTAAACATTTTAAAAGTTATAATACAAGGACAGAGCAAGGGAGAAGCATTAAAAAGATTAAATCTATTTGTGGTTCCTTTGTCAAGAACCTGATAAGGCTGTATACACACACACACACAAAGTCGGAGTGTACATATAAACAGAAATATGGTCTTTGTGTTATCTGTTCAGATGGACCATCATCAATATTGATAAAAATAGAAAAATAAAAAAGAGAATATAACTTTTGCAGATATAACTAGATCTTCTTTTCAGATCTGTTCAGAGGAAAGAAATAATGGAAAATAAATGATTATGCATTCTAAATAAGAATATGTGTGAATATAGACTCAAAATAACTATAGCCTTTTAAAAAGTCAGCAGCAGCCCAAGAGCTCCTCGCTGTGTTTAGAGTCAAAAATTATTGCCACAAAGATAAACTCCTTTTTTAAATTGGGACTAAAAAAAAAAAAAACAATAGTAGATAATATCTTATTTACATTATTTTGACATTTTTAAAAGTGTACTGTACTATTTGTGTACTTTTAGCTTTGGTAGGTTTAAAAAAATAACAATAATAAAAGAATAGAGACTATATCCAGAATATTACATTATGTTAGTCTAAAATTTTGCGTGCATCTACAAAAAGTTGCCTTGCTTCTCTGAGAATGAATATGGAAACCACATGAAAATCTGAGGCTGAGATCCTGCTCTGTAGTCTCTGGCAATTTGCTTTAATCTCTTTAGAGCTCAGGGTCTCAGGACTCTTTGGGAATCACAAATTAATATCCAATTTATTGTAGTTTCAAATGTAAATGCTTTCTCCTCCTTAAAATGTTTACCTTAATTGATATGTCTATTATTCTTTTTATATATTATTAACATAAGAAAAACTTTCTTTATTTTTGCCATAATTAATATTCAATCATTTCAGATTGAACAGACTAAATATACCTAAAGAATTAAGACCATCGACAACTTACTTTATTACAGTGTCTTTAAATATTTTAACTGGTATTTGTAAAATTGAATTTTTATTATCTTAAGAGTGTTTTCACAGTCTAACCAATCACCATTAGGACCCTAACAAAATCCTTTCCAAGTATTTAAATCATATGTCTTAAGCTCATAAAATCGTAAAACCTAGCTCCTTTTAAATATATCAAAACTTTTTTTAATTAGTAAATTTTTATGTATACTACTTTCTGACTTAAACTGCTAAGTCTAAAATCAGTTATTTAATTACAAAACTAAAAGTGCAAGCACAAGTAAAATCTGGCAAAGGCTCCAAACAGTCTTAACTATGACAAGCACTTTCCACACCAAACATACCGAAATGATTCTAATTAATGCAAACTTAATCCTAAACTTAAAGGCATTACAGGTTGAGCATCCATAATTTCAAAATCCAGAATCCCAAATGCTCCAAAATCCAAAGCTTTTGAGTGACCACATGAAAATCTCACACCTGACCTCATGTGACACATCACAGTCAAAACGTAGTCAAAACTTTGTTTCATGCACAAAATCATTAAAAATATTATAATATAAAATTATCTTTAGGCCAAACATAACTGAATTTCATGCCTTGATTTTTTTCCTATCCCCAAGGTATGTTATTATGTATATATAAATATTTGAAAATCCAGAAAAAATTAAAATCTGACCCACTTTCTGACCCAACTATTTCAGATAAGGGATTTTCAACTTGTAATGCCATAAGTTTGATTTATGTCATTATCTCTGTATTTTATTCTTTAACTACCCAGGTTTAAAAGACATTTATCCTCTAAGCAGTTTTACCACCTCAGATGGGTTAAAAAAATTATTGGGAAGAAATTTGAAAGCAGAATGTAGGTGCAGGGGGCTATCTCTGCCTAGGGTAATTTTTCTGCATATGACTCACCAGAACATACTGAACCTTAATTATAATTATATATTTTATAACAACTGGAGACCCCTTCAGATGAAGGTGGATTATTTTGGGTCCTAGTTACACTCTTAAATAACTTCATGTGATTTGATTTTGAAACTCCTTGACCTAAGTTACAGCTAACTCCTTTCAGTAACACCTCTTTGCAGCTCCATTCATTTCGTACTAATTTTGTATTATTCTAATCTGGCTGGACCACAACTCTTACAAATATTTCTCTGTCTTTGGGGTCAGAACTCTGAAATCTTGTTAATTGCACACATTAGTGCCTACTATGAAAGTTGAAAGGCAAGAGAACAGAAAGGAGCAGCATCTTCAGAAATTAGCCAACACACCTGGAACATGGTCCAACATTAACAACCTGCTCAGATTTGATCACCCTGGAAAATTGAAAATTCTGAGCCATTTCATTTTGGTCTTTTGGAGTTTAAAACATGATTAATGACACATTTAATGAGCAATCTAATTTTCAGCAGGAAAGGTTATTTGTTTTACCCTCTCACAATATATGCAATAAAAAGTGGCATCTTTGACATCTACATGAATGGCAATCATAAATGAATGTTCTTGAATTTGCTATAAATAAATATTCAGTCATGTCATAATTATATAGAGAGTTGAATCCATTTAAAATCTTATCCTCAAATGAACAATGAAACTTTGAAGTGGGTATTCAACAATTATAATTTCAAATCATATGACATATTTTATAGTCTTTTCCTCTGGCTTTTGTGTGAAAAGTACCTGTTTATCAAGAGAGTCAACTGAATTTCTCTTACCTGTTAATATCATCATGATGATTAACTTTATGTGCCAACTTGACTGGGCTATGGGGTGCCCAGACAACACATTATTCTAGGCGTATCTCTGAGGATGATAAGATTAGGATTTGAGTCAGTGGGCTCTGTAAAGCAGATGGCCCTCCCCAGTGTGAGTGGGCATCGTCCAGCCCATCAAGGGCCTGGATAGAACCAAAAAATGGAGCAGAGGATAATTTGTTCTCTTTCCTGCCTGCCTGTTTGATCTGGGACATCATGTCATCTTCCTCTGTCCTTAGACTAGCATTTACACTACTGGCTCCCCTGGTTCTCAGCTCTTTAGACTCAGACTGGAATTATGCCTATTCCTGTGTATCCTGCTTGCAAACAGAAAATTTTGGGACTTCTTAGCCTCTTTACTCATGATAGCCAATCCCTATCTATCATCTATCTATCTATCTATCTATCTATCTATCTATCCATCCATCCATCTATATGTATGTCACTATTGGCCTGTAGTTCTCTTTCTTTGGATAACCCTGACAATTACAATCATAATACCTGAAGAACTCAATGTTTATTATTATGCTGTTGTTATTATTATTGACCAAAAGGATGCATGCCAGCAAAACAAAATAATCACACTATGCAACAAAAATCAATGTGGTGACTTTCATTGGAACAATGATTTTATATTATATATATATATCTTTGGTTATATTTTCACTTCTAAATTGTCCTGGCTAACCATGAGCCAAGAGAAATATATGAAGCAAAAGAAAAAAGTTGTTCATTGGATAGGCTTCTAACCAACAATATTTATAACCTGACATAAAAATAACACTCAAGTCCACAGAGTACTAAAAAAAAAAATCACTTAAGAAATTTATAAATGTTTTTAAGAATGAAAGGAAGTCATTTATATCCTTGACTCTAAGTATATGGGTATCTGTGAACCTGCCCTACTCTTCATTTCTTTTCCCTTTGAAGGCCAAAATTAGCACATAAGTCTTGTATGTGTGAGAATATGTATTATGTTTTTGTTCAAAGTCCAACTAATTCTGCACATACCATACACATCAAAGTGAAAATGAATCTAACAGGAATGTTCTGTCTGTTTTTTCATTTCCCTGGTCTGAGTTAGGAGTTTATAATTTTAAAGACTTTTAAGTCCAAAATATGCACACACATAACTTTCAGAGACATGTTTGTACCATGTGAGTCCTAGTATATTTTTAATGGAGATGAATAAATTAGAGGTCTGCAATGTGCAAAATAAAAAAAAAAACTTGAAGACTCTTCATAGCATTTTATTTTCCTTATAAAAATTGAACAAGTGACTGATTTATTTAATGCTACATAAAAAAAAAAAAAACACTCCAAAAGTTAGTGGTTAAAACAACAACAATTCATTATTTCTCAAAATTTTGTGGGTTTGCTGGACAGTTCTTTGGATCCACATAGCGTTACCTGGGATCACTCATTTCACAACTGGACCAAAAGATTCAAGAAAGTCCCTCTTGCATGCCTTGGCACAGACTCTCAGGTGATCAACCTGTGTGTCCCTCCATGTGGTTTCTCTCTTCATGTGGTGGCATATGCTCCAAGGACTCTATAGTCCTCTCTTTTCAGCAGATACCCTGATTTCCTTCCAGCATACGGTTTGGATTCCAAGAAAATAAAAGAAGTTGGCTGGCATCTTAAGGGCTAAGAATTGGCATAGCTTCCCTTTATGAATTCTGTTGTTCGAAACAAATCCTGAGGCCTGATCAGAATCAAGGGGGGCGGGGGGCGCGGAAATCAATACCACTTCTTGAAGGGAGAAGTGATGGGTATCAATAGGGAGGGAAAGAATTGTTTGTCATCATTGGAGATATCTATCACGGTAGAATCTTACATGTCTGCATATTTTTATAAAGCTTTGGTCTCCTTTGTCACCTGGACCTCTGATCCACCTGGACTTGCACCTTGGTTCTTTCAGTCCCTTGTTCTTGCCCCTTCTCTTCACATGCTTTTTCTTCCATGTGAACACTTTCTTCTCACATTGAACTAGACTGTGCCTACTGACCACTTTCCTATGGAAGCCTACCTACACTGACTTTCTCACTTGGTCATTTTATGTTCTTCCGGGCACTATGATGATATTTTATTCAACTATATTTCTTTGAAATGCTCTAAGTTTCCTGAGGACACGGTACATCTTTCTAAGACCTGATACTCCAAAACAGAGTCTTGGACATGGTGAACAGATGATCCAGATGAATAGCTACTGATAGAATGAATGAATCAATGAGTAAAAAATACAATCAATGAGGTGGCTGCTTAGTGAATATCAGGAGGAAAAAAAGTTGATTCACTCCTTAACATGTACAAAAAATGAAAATGCATCTTGATAAAACAAAAGAAAGAAAAGCACAAAAGATGCGTGAGGTATTGGTGGCTACCTGAGATTGCTTAACACAACTGAAGCAGATTTATCAGTGAGCAAAAGGGCCAGGCAAACCATTTCTTGTTAGTAAACTCTCGAAGTCGTATATATTGTTGCTATCACCAGTATTTCTCATTCTCATCCTTCCACCCACACAAGAAATTTCATTTCTTCACTCTTGTGAATGATTTGCTTCAGCCAATGAAATGGGAATTCAAGCGATATGTATCACTTTTTAGTGAAAATGTTTAATTGCCACTGCGAGTTTCAAAAACTCTCTTTACGGAAACTGGAAGCACATATTCATAGGGTATCTTTTCACTGAGTCTTCTCATGGA